TAGGAACAATGTTTTTGGACATTCACATCTCGTAATGATGCTTCTTATTGTTATGTGGTAGTTTGCCTAAACATTTGTACGGCTGTGATCCCGCTCTTGCTTAAATTAAATTAAGAAGGCTTGATCCTGCGTTCTTCGGGCACCCACAGTTCCTTGCTCTTTCAGCGGTTGTGCAAGGATTGGGTCCAAAGCATGACCACGAGGGGAGGGGTTTGTTTAGGGAGAGGCTAAAAAAGGCCAGTTTTGGAATCTGGGGAACCAGGGGTTAATTAGCCCTGTATTCTGTGGTGGGGTAGTTAACCCAGCATGAATCAGAATTGCATCCACATGAAATGGTGGGGAATAGACAATATTCCATTATCAAAGGCAACAATCTAGCACGTGATTAGTCATCCTCTGCATTTATCAATATTTTCACTAGCTAAATTAAAATATCTGTAAGAATTTAGGGACTAGCAGACTGGATCACACCCAAGGTCCTGTTAATCCAGTATCCAGTCTCTAACAGAGGCCTGTACCAGTTGTTTCAGAGGAAGTTGCAAGACACCCTGCAGGAGGCAATTAGGGGTTAGCCTGCCCACAGGGAAGATTTCCTCCTGACCCACATTAGTAAGAGATTGTATTAAGCCCTGAAGCATGAGGTTTTATATCCCTTTCAAAACTCTTATAGTCTCTTCAAGCAATTAAAGTCATCTGCCTGCGGTTTTGATCTTGACAGCAGCAGAGATAAGAGAGATTTCAGCAGTATCTTGACTTGACAGCCCAGAAAAATGGCTCTATTGATACGGAGACAGAATTGGGCGTTGAACAAGGCTCAGTGATGAAGCCGTGGCTGAGCCGAAGTCAGCTTGCTTGTTGTAACTAATTAAGAATCTTAGTGGGGCTGGAGTTGCAAGGTTCCTGCTTCGTGCTTTTTCTTTTCCCTGACAAACCAGTCCTCCCGTGGTGCTAATTTCGCCCGTTGTTGTACAACAGACAGTTGCTCTTCCTCTGAACTGTATTAATAAAACCGGTGTCTTAAGACACAGCCTGTTTGTGGCATGTCTGACTTGTGTTGGGTCCAGGAAGCCCTGTCGTGCTGAGCTGGACAGATGCCCAGACTCTTCTATGCATAATTAATAAGGACATTTGGGATATGACCGTTCCTGCCAGTTATACGTTAGAGATGGAAAGGACCTATCAGCTCAGCTGATGCGTGAGCAACAGCATATTTGCGGTTTGTGAATAAGGCAGTAAGAAAACTATGAGCATGACTGGTCTTGGGCAACCGGTTGCGCGTCGTTGGGCCGCACCCGTATCTTGCCCTGTACCTGGCTTCTCTGCCTGTTTCCCTCAGCCGGGCTTTTGTGCTGATTTCCATTCTCCTCTCCTGTGCATGACGCATGTCAGATGCTTTTGCCTTCTTTGTACTAAACCAATCTTAGAACGTGGATGTTCTGGGGGAGGGAGTGCAGGACTGGGAACCAGGAATGCCTAAGTTCTGCTGTCAGCTCAGACGCATCCTCCCTCCGTGTCCTTGGGCAAGTCACTTAACCCCCCTGGGCTAAAGAGGGATGATAGCATTGGCCTTCCAGGCGCACTTAGCATCAGGTTATGTAAGGTGCTTTGAAAGTGCCAGGTATTACTGGTCTAAGTGCCACCTATTATTGCTCCTGGACGTTCTTCTGGAGGTTCAGGTGCAGTATAATGTGTGTCCCCCTCCCCCCGCAAATAATGCCTGCAGCCTGGCCTGCTCCTGAGTAGAGCCCCATGAAATGCCTTTTATTTTTTGGGAATTTCGTTTTGTTTCTTTTTATCCCGGGAGGGGGGGAGTCGAGGATCAGTTCCTGCCCTGGAGGGGGTGGGAGGTGCTGGGGGAGTGAGTGGCAGAGCAAGCCAGCCCTGCCTTCATCCTGCAGTGGTGGCATCTGCCCCACCCATTGCAGCCTGGTGCACAGGGTCACAGCACCACCCAGGTTTGGCCTGGCTTCCCCTCTGTCATGATGATGGGCTGCGGGGCGCGAGGGGGAGGCCGGCTCTGAGCAAGTGGTGCTGCGACCCTCACTCGCGATCTGCAGAGCGGGGAGTCGGGCCCAGCCCCATGGGACAGGAGCCGCAGTAGCGAGTGCTGCGGTGGGGCGCTTTATACGTTGTTGTTTGTGTTGGTTTGTATTTGCAAAAGACCCAGAGCTTGGCTCCTCAGTGCAGAACTCTCTTCGCGCAGACTGGATACCCCGCCTGGCAATTTGCTTTCGTGCCAGTGGCATGGTAAATATCCCGGCAGTCTGTAGCTTCACAAACGGTAGCTGTTCAGCTGTTACATGGATGTGGGGGAAAGGCCGACGGAAGGGAGTGAAAAGCGGGGGAGGTCAGGTGGCAGAGTAGAAGGGCACAGATTCATGGCCGGAATCCAAACCCCAGGGTTGGTTTGTAACGTGCAGGTGGGGCCCTGCCATTAGACAAGGCCAGACAAATCCCCACTTCTGAACAGCCACAAACGTTGGGTTGTTTGAAACCCAGACCTGAATCTCTTTACTGAAGCCCATCTTTAATGTACAGGTGTTCTGCTGGGATGATATTGGGTTCACTGCATACTCAGGATGGGGAAAAGCCCAGCACCATTCTAACAGTAATGCTTAGCTCTGATTATATAGCCTTCTTATCTAGAGATCTCTAAGTTCCTTATAAAGAAGGGTAAGTATTTATTATCCCCATTTTACAGATGGTGAAACCAAGACACAAAACTGGATGTAATTTGAGCAAGGAGCCACAACAGTGCCAGAGCCCAGATATCATGATTCCCAGCCCAGTGCTGTATCCACTAGCCCAAATGTCTCTTAGCCTCAATCTTCCCCTGAAATTACAGTATATGATGATGTGTTGCTCAAAACATGCTGTCATCTTCATTGGATCAAACTTTGGGGGCAGTAGGAGAGGGAAAAGGACAGGGTAGATTTGATTTAAATCAAAATGATTTGATCATCGTGATTAAATCGAGTCTTCCTGACTAGTGATTTAAATCGTTTTCTACATAAAAGCGCATTCTTGTTGGTGGTTATAACCTTAATACATATTCTTCACAACTCAGAGATGTAGGTTTCATTTTTAGAAGGTACACACTATACATTTTTAAACAGTGATTTATTTTGAAAACTTTTCAGATTAGTTTTACAGCTATATCGGAAAATGAATGAATGATTGTTTGGTTATTTCATTTACCAAAGGTAATTGAAGCAGATATTTATGAAGTTTTTGGGAGGTGAACTATCTCCACTCCAACAGGATGATCATTAATATTTGGACGATTTTCTTGCCATGTTGTATTAGGAGGAGAACATCACCAGACAGACATTTACATTGTTTTATTTAACTAAAACAACAACATTATGTATTCTGGCTTTTTTTCTTTAACAGAAAACATATAATATTTTAACAAAACAAGCATATGTCCCTCGCTCCTCACATTTATCTCCAGACTTCTCCTTGTCCAGATCTATTCTGCCCCCCGCAATCTTCTATTCATTGAACTTTTTGAAACTTTGCACTTTTAGAGAGAGGTAAGGGATTGACTTTGTGTACACAAATCTGCAGAGGGACAATAGGGTTGACATCTGTTATTTCTCACCTCTATATATTTATTTATTTATTTTTTATTTTAAAATATTTTTGCTGTTAACAAGCATGTTATCTCTGGAGACACAAATCTACAGTTTGAGAACTGCAAAACTAAGCATCTCTGATGGTATCTTCTAGACTGAGTGTGAGTCCCATGGGGTAGGTAGAAAGATTAGCCTAAATAATCTATACAAAAGCCTGCGGAACCCCATAAGATGGGGTCCCTAATCCATGAACTGTTGACACTCATTTACAAAACTTTTCTTAAACATTACATGAATATACTGTCTCATACTATAGAATGAGAATTTATAATCCCTATTCCATGATGAGATATCTTTGAGCTATAATGTATCTTAATTAAAATTATCTTTAGATAGGCTTTTTCCTCAAAAGGCATTTTATTAAAAAAAACCTATTTAAATAAAAAAAATCAGATTTTTTTGATTGATTTTTATCCATCCTGGAAGAGGAATAGCCATGTAGCCACTTAGGAGGCCTTGTGGCCTAGTAGATAAGGTAATTTTAGGCATTCAGGACTCCTGGGACACCGGAGACTTGGCTCCTATTCTCACCTCTGTAACTGGCCTGCTGAGTGACCTTAGGTGAGTGATTTCACCTCAGTTTCTCCATCTGTAAAACGGGGCTAATTAGACTGACCTTCTCTGTAAAGTGCTTTGAGATCTACTGATGAAAAGCCCTATACAACAGTATTATTCGTAGTGAGGTTCAGTCTGCTGCTATATCTTTTTGGAAGTGCTGTAGATATTAAAACTTTTTTTTAAACCTGTTTGTCCGATGACGTTCCAGCCCGCACGTATCTCTCTGTTGTAAATGTCTTATTTCCCCCACGCGACTGATGCTGTTGATTGAGTTTCTCTTTGATCACACTGAAGGTCATGTCGTCCATGCCTAGGGATAAACACATTTATCCACCGTACCCATGAGGTGAGGGCTGCTTTCCTGCTTGGATTCGCTTCTGTTGCTGATACGCTGGCCCCAGCTTTGGTTTGTATTTAGTCTTGTAATGTTGCTTTTGGAAACAGCTGCAGGTGTCTGGCGTCTTGTTTTGTTTTCTGGAGAATGTTGAAATGCTTTGTTGCTTTCTTGGCTTTAGCGCTCAGAGATATAGCATCGTAGTCAAGTTCTCACTGTCGGTTTATGATGGACTCTATTAAAATTATAAGGAAAATCTAAATGCGTTGCTTCCCGCAACATGTCTTATCGGTACTAGAGATACTGGGAGCAAACGTGAACGGAAGGCAGTGTGGGCTAGTGTTTAGAGCAGGGATCTGCAAGATGAGATCTGGGTTCTCTTACAGTTTGTCCTTGGGCATGTCACTTAAAATCTCTCTCTCTCTCTCTCTCTCTCTCTGCCCCTCAGTTTCTCTGTTTGTGATCAGCGAGGAACTTGGTGTGCTACTATGCTTTACTACGTATTTAATTGGGATACCACTGTGACAGCAAGGAATGAACTTGGATCCTTAAAAACAAAACAAAAACCCTACTACTAGAGTTGAAGAAAAATCTCCATTTTGCTATTAGCAGTATCCTCCTGCTCCTGAATCATTGACTTCTCCCACTTGAGATAAAAGAGAATCCCCATTCACCGTTAGCGGTATAAGGCCTATTGCACAGTTGAGCAATTCTGATTTCATCCACTAGAGGCCAGTGGTGGTACATATTAACCTGTTCATTCCAATACTTGCCCACCTTCTTGAAGGCCCTTTTGAATGCCTCTGATGTAATGCCCATGTCTGCACAAAATATAATTGTGGGCAAGTATCTGCAAGACGCGTTGGAGTCAAGGGAGAAAAACATCCAAAGCTCTGACCTGGAGTCGGATCAGCCTGATCCCAGACGGAATTAAGTACAGGTGTATCAAGCTCTTTGTGAAGGGTTTTCTGGGAGAAATCGAAGGGATCGTCAGCCCGGTGATCTCTCTCCTCCCTGCTCGCAGTGGGAATCGGGACCCTGTTGAGTACCGCAGGAGACAAGGGGCTCCCAGCATTTCTGCTAATGGGGGTGCACATTCTCTGGATCCCCTCTTCCAAGCTTGCCTGCAGCGGGCTGCTGATTTGAAGATGCTACCGCTGGCTTTAATAGGATGTCGTGAACGTTCCTTCTCAGAACGTGGCTCAGAAGGGACGTTACAGACCTTTAGATGAAAGCAAGAGCTGGAAGCTGCCTTGAAAAGGCTGCTGCAGCTTCTCACCTAGTCGGGGCAGATTTTTATCTGGCCTCATGTATGAATGGCCTAAAAATAGGTAAGGACTGGAACAGGCTTCCAAGGAGATTGTGGAATCCCTGTCACTGAAGGTTTTTAAGAACAGGTTAGACCATCACCCCTCAGAGACGGTCTGGATTTACGTGGTCCTGCCTCAGTGCAGGGGGGCTGGATTGGGTGACCCCCTTCCAGCCCTACATTTCTATGATTCTCCGACTTCATGCTGGGACTGAATTGCTGGCTACATTTGAACCAGAATCTTTTTGTTTGAATTCAGAGCCGTTGCTGGGCGCAGGGTGTTTTGGGCCCACGCCGTCCTCCTTTGCTTACCGCCCAGATGTCTGGAGACGTGGGGCCTGTCGCTTTTCTCAGAGCCTTGTTCACGTGACTTAAGCGCTTGAGCAGCTGAGGAACATTACAGGAGAGTAAAGTTGCACGCAGCAGACTGAGCGAGCCAGCCTCGAAATCACTAATGTCCTGCTCTCCCCCATGCAATACACCGACACGCTCTTTGTCTGGGGTTCACAAAGTAGTGACACCTAGCTCTTGTACAGTGCATCATGTCAGGAGATCTCAAGGCGGTTTACAAAGGGGATCAGCATCATTATTCCTATTTTTATATAATAGCCGGTGTGCTTTGCCTCCTCCATACCGCATCTCAAGCAGAGCAAGCTTGCTTACGTGGTGTGGTTTGGCTGGGAGTGACTAGGTGGGGAAAGAAGCTCAAAGGATGGCAAGTGAAAACCAGCATGGAGCCCATGGCTTTAACTTTCATGTCACGAAACGACCCAGTGTATTTCCAGATGACACTGCCGTATGATGAGCGCTGTAGGTTGGCCGTTGACGTTGCATTGAAAGTGATGACTACAGTCCAGGACAAGTGGAAAGCTGGCACATGGTCCAGATTTTGGGTTTAAAGAGAGAGATCCAGGAAGTTTAAGGCAAAATCGTGGGTTTTGTTCATACCTGTATCTAAGTGTATGAGTTTATATAAATATAATCACTTTTGTCTACTAAACAAATCAGTGACCTGTTTGTCTTAACCCAAACATTGTAATATCTGCCTAGTGCATGAGACTCTGAAAGTGAAACTGACTAGTTCATTTTTATGGTCCAAGCCAAATGGAAGTGTTGAAGGTAGATATCATGTAGGATTTTAAGGGTGGGGCTTTCAAAGACACCTACGTAACTTTCAGTGAGACTTTTGCTCCTAAATCATCTAAGTGCCTTTGAAAGTTCCTGTTTTTGGGGTTTTTTTTAAAAAGCTTTATTTTTAATCCACTTAAGTTTATATTATTATAGGGGAAGCTGATAGTGACTCTGGTAGGTGGGTTGCCAAACACTTACCATTATAAAAGAGTCTTGCAATATTTTTTAAGAGCTCTAACACCTCCATTGTTTGCAGCCTATGAAATTCAGCGCGGGGGAAGCCTTTGGCTAGAGAAGTGCCTTTTCTTTGTCCCAAGAAATTCCATTTAGGTTTTGCTGAGAGAGAAACTCAGACAAATCACCATGTCTACTCTCTGACTGCATTCCTTGAGAGAATTTTGGCTAAAACTGGTCAGTAAACAGGATGAATCTTTCATGAAATTTGGAGGGGGAGACAACCTTCAATGTAGCTTTAATTCTGCCCCCTTATGCATATGCATTGTGGTCCAGCCGTTAATTATATTATCATATACTAATTTTTTCCAAAGGAACCCTGCTTCATTCAGTCACAGAATGGGCGCACCAGGGGTCAGAATTAAGGTTGCAAAGACAGCCTTAAATCTGGTGTTTTCTAGCTTTGGAATGCTCAACTTTGCAACCTAAATAATGTTCTTTGTGGATGTAATCATTAATCACACTCTGTGTAGAGGCTGCAACCAGAGCATTGGCACTGAACGTACACCGAGTAAGAGGCAGCCTTTCCCCTGAAGATTTCATAGTCTGCATGGACCGACAGAGGGTGAGAGGGGAACAGAGACACAGGGATGTAAAGTGAGGGTTTGTCTACATGGTCCTTTAATCTACCCTGCAGGGGTGTAAATTTTAGTTCACTAAACGTTCCCTAGTGTATGTCAATGTCGTTCCACGGGTGCACTGGGGAACTTTTAGTGTATGACAGCAGGGTCTCCATGGGCCAATTAGTGTGCAACATGCTAGTGTGGATTGAAACTTACACCTCACTAAACCAGGTATAGACAAGCGCTGACTTGCCCAAAGTCAAACCAGCCGGTCAGTGGCAGGGCCAGGAAGTGTCCCCCGATCTCCTGGCTCCCAGTCCAGTGCTCTTTCCATTAGATTGTGCTGCCTCTCAACAATGGTACATATGTAGGATTTCCAACCTGGCAGCATCACTTTATGTAGCTTGCAGTATAACTGCTAATGCCTGACTGTTACATCACACATGTTGCTCTTGTATTCTCCTCTCCAGTCTCAAATAATGTGGTTACCCATCTCCATGGGGGCGTTCTCAAAGGCTGCTTCCCTTCACTCGCTCCTTAAAGCAGCAGTCCATTTCCCATGTCACATTATTTCCAAATCGTCTCAAACTTTAATGATCTTCTAATATTTTTTTTCACTGCTTATACTGAATCTATTGAAATTCAGTTCTCTTTTGTGCCAAGTGGCTTGAAATATATATATAAATATTTTATTTCCCGTAAAACCTTTCAGTTGAATCCTTTTGGAAAGGCTTACTAATGTATTTGCTTTTTTCGCGGGTGTTTCCACTGGTAAAGAATTTATTTTGTTGACTCTAGTAGAGAAAGAGATGTAATATAATTTGAAGATTTGACTCAACTGGGCTTCATGCCGAGGCTGGCTATAAGTCTGTGTTTCAAACGTCTCTCTCTCTGCTGGAAAATCTATTGTGAGAAGGAGGCCCATAAAGCAGGCTTTTTCCAGCTCTTTATTTGCTGCCTACTGAAATGGTGCTTTTGCCATGACTGTACTCAAACCAAGCTCTCGTTCCAGCTGGGAAACGAATATCAGAAGGATAACCTTAGCGGCTTCCCTCCTGAAAGATCCCAAAGCACTTTAGGAACTGGAATTGTTTTTCTTGCCACTGAAATGCAGCTGCTTCTAGGATGAACCATGGCATCTGTTTGACATTCCCCCCCCCCCCCCGCAGTGCCAAGCAGCTCTTGAGCAGAGGAAGTGAAGAATTGGTCCAACTGAGACTGATGGAGTACTCAGTAATTACCCCAGCTGAAACTGGCCAGGATGCTGGGGTAAATGCTGCCTCTTGAAAGAAAAATGATGTGGATTTTAGACAACAGCAAGTGACCAGAAGCCCAGGTCTGGGTATTGTCCCCAGCACCCGCAATGCTGCAGTGTCCTGTGATAGCCCTCCACCCTGGCGTGATGTATGGGGGGAGTGTCCCCTACTGAATCACCAAGCCCATTTCCTGCAGCACCTCGACGATCTTTGGAGCCCTCCAATCTGAGCACTAACCTGCTTATAACTTGCCTAGTGTGAGTGGAGTTTCTGCATCGTGGCTCTTAAAAGCAGACTTGTCACAGCTGTGAGAAACAAGACGAGTAACTTGGTCGTACGCTGTGTTCATATTCAGTCTTAGTGACACAAACGCAAGTGTGGGGTACATGGCACCCTGCTGGCACCAGGGCTACCGACAGTGCTAAGTAATTATTTAAGTAAGGCCCTACTCCAGACCCTTGCAACCCGACCCGAAGCCAGTGGGACCCAACCTGCTCTGGCTCGGGCCAGGTCGTCTCCGATCCCCTCCTCCGGCCCATGGGGTCGGCTGAGTGTCAGCTGCATGCCCTGTTCCTGCCGGCGGCCGGCACCTTGCTTTGCTGTGTGCACTGCGGAGGGAGGGTGCCGCAAGCTGCAGGGCCTCTTGCTCCGCAGCGCGGGCGGGACACAGCAAGGTGGTGGTGGCCGGCAGGAATGGGGCACACAGTTGCCACCGCGCCGACCCAGCTGGCAGGAGGCGGCTGAAGGAGGATTGTGGGCCCGGGGCAGCAGGAACCACCCCCCGGGGGCCAACCCCCAACACCCGCTGCTGTGGCGTATCAGTCGGGGTAGGCAATGATGCTGAGCAGGAAAGACCTGAACGCAGGAAGAAAAGAGGAAGAAATTAAAAGGGGGCGAGAAAACAGCATAGAAAATGGTGCAGAGAGTTAAAGATCCAGACTTCTGTTTCCAGAAGACGATTAGCTATGTCTGTCTTCCCCTAATGTCAGCCCTGGTCCTGCAAACGGTTAGCCGTGCCCGCCAGATTGCTCGTGCACTCATGTGTGAATGGGCGTGCAGAGTCCAGCCCTCAGACGTCAAGGAACATCTAAGCTTTAGCAGTTTTAAGGTCTGTCAAAATAGCGCCTCGGTTAAGATAAGTAGTCTGGATCTTGTGCGCTAGCAGGGGCTGGGATGGTTACCTTGTTTGCAGGGTTTTTAAGAGTTGTTTTGTTGTTGGATTTAAAAACAAAACCCTAAAGACATTCCTTCTTAGGGCTGGTTTAGTAAACGCTTCTTTAAAACCATCCTTTAGACCGATGTTTGGTGTTCACTTACCTCTGAAGAACTTGGCCACTGCAGGAAGTAGGATATAGAGCTAGACGGAGGGTTAGATAGTGGGGTGGATTAGAGCGATGATGTATAATAATAATACAGTGCACTCAGACACGCACGTTTCATCCAGGGATCTAAACTCCCTGTTCAGAGGTGAGTGTTAATATTCCTGTTACAGAGCATCTGTGTAATATTTTTCACCCCTAGATTACAAAAGTGCTATACTTGAGCAGGAAAGTTATGAGCATCCTCGTTATCTAATAGCTGGTGAAACGGATGCATATAGAGTTTAGATGACTTGCCCAAGAGCGAACAGCAAGTCAGTGGCAGAGGCGGAAGGGGAATCCAGGTCTCCTGACTTCTAGTCCTGGGCTCTATTTACTGAGCCATGCTGCCCCCTTGTAACAGGAAGTAACATTCCCATTTTGTGAGTGAGGAAACAGAGGCACAAGGACTGAGCGCCTCAACTCCCCCTGATTTAGCTGTCATTGTGGGTGCTCAGCCTTGGAATGATCTGCCCACAGTGCCCCTCTGAGTCAGTAGCAGTCACAGGAAGCCAAAGCTCTCATTGCCGGTGCCTGATCCCTTTCTGCTCTCATCACCGCAGTCCGTCAGCACTAACAGTCGTTACCATGGTGAGGTTAAAGCATTATCCCTGTTTTACAAAGGAGGCACTGAGTAATGAAGTGACCTGCTCAGGGTCACACAGGATATGTCTGCCCTGCACACTCTGATTCACTTGGAGCCCAGCCCCGCTCCCCCCTCCTCCCCCCACACGTACATCAATCTGACTTGGCTCAGCCAGCACTCAGGACCAGGGTCCTAGGTCGCTGCTGGGCGGGTGGGTCAGAGCCCAAGTACTGCTGTGACTGATCCAATCCCTGTCATTTCGCAGTGTGGACCCAGCTCAAGCCCAGACCTGAATCAGAAGGTCTGCCGAGTATGGGCTTGGAAACACCCAGTCGACCATCCTGGGTCCCACAGATCTGGGTTTAAATGGAGTGTGACATAGTCCCAGGGCATCTGTTGTCATGCCAGGAACTGAACCCAAATTTCATGCTGGTCAGTCCAATGCAGCAAACCAGGGGATTCGAAAACCATTTTTTGCTGGGCCCTGCTTTGAAAATACTTCAGGCTGTGACGACCCTTGTGATAGCAAATGACTGTACGTACTCACAGGGGCATACTCATGGTATTTCCACCCTTCCTTCTGCGCTGCTGCTGGCTACCTTCAGAGCTGGGCAGCTGGAGAGCGGCGGCTGCTGGCTGGGAGCCCAGCTCTGCAGGCAGAGTCACCGCCAGCAGCATCCATCTCTGCCTCCCCATAGCGATTGTAATACCTAGACTTCTCCCTCTAATCCCAGTAACTTTTTTTTGTGATCTCACAACACCCCTCCTCCTCCACAGTAGCCTTGCAACCCGCTTTTGGGTCA